TTTGCATTTTCCTTCAAGATTATTTCATGTATATATTATTATGTAGAAACAGTTAAGTGCTTGCCTTTCTTAATGCTTCTGGACAAAATATTAATTACGTTTCTAAGTGGTGAAATGACACTTAGATATTCTGTCCTGGCTGACCGTTCGCTTTCTTTTGTTTTGCTTTTTATTCATTCATTCATTCATTCAGTGTTCATTGTGCTTTGACTGGTATTCTGAGTACTTACAAATAGCGCTGCTACAGACATTTCTGTACAAGTTCCCTGTTCAGGGAACATTTCCTAAAGTGGTGCCCCAGGGTCAGAAAGAATTTGTGGTTTCTTAATTCGTGTAAAACACTGCTTTAACTACCTAAAACTCCAAGGTACTGTGGTGGGTAAATTCGAGTCTCCCTTGGGATGCAGCCCGGTTCCCTAGCTTGACAGTTTTCCCTTTGGGGCCTGAGGGGTGCCAGGGGCGCTGGGGGGAGCCCCCTCTGATGTTCAGGGTTGTTACCATCATTTCAGAAGGTGGGAGGAAATGTTTGGAGGAGATGGATAACTTCATGGCATCTATGTGATGATGGCTTCATGGTGTATATTTAATCTCTAAACTCATTAACTTTCAGACATTAAATTTCTTCACCTTTTTGTATGTCCGTCACACCTCAGAAAAATTATTTTCAAAGGAAAAAGAAAGAAGCAGACGACTGAGGGTGGGAAGAGCTCTCTCCTGCTCTTCAGACACAGAGGTGCGGAGATGGACCTTTGCTGACCTGTCTCTTAACAGTTTTCTTCTGCCAAATAAATTCTCCCCGGGTTTTTTTTTTTTTTAAGAAGCATCTTTATTATTTTTTAAAATGTTGCTCAAAAATCTGAATGTGTATTTTGCACAACGGTTACAGAGATTGCTGTACTTAAAGCTTTGACTCAAGGTTAGTACCACGTTTCACGCATAGGTAGGTTTTTATTCTTTCACATTTGGAGATACCTGAATTGTGCCCCAGCGTGGGGTAATGCGAAAATTTTCAGTTAAAATGGGAGGTGAAAGCTAGATTTTACCTGGGTTAATCTGACTTTTCAGTCCTCTTCGACTGTTTTTCCAAGAAGCAGGCAGCAGATCGGAGAAATGGGTAAAAGACTAATGGATTTCTTCTTTCCATCTTCATTACGTGGATTTCTAGTGTCCCATGTGGTCACAGAGGCAAGAGGCCATGTGTCCCTGGCCCACAGTGTCAGCTCTGTGGTTCCTTTCCTGGGCCACGCCATTCTGGCTGAATGTCCTCAGCGTCTCAGTGTTTCCGGACAAGGATGCCACGCACCCCCGTCACCCCCTCTCCCTGTGCCCGTCGTCTCGTTTCTGCATCACAGCGCACCACATCTGACTGGAAACCTCAGCCCCCTTGTAATAAATAGGTCATCCGATCCTACCCAGTCTTATTTCAGACGCTCACCTCGCCCCTGAGCAATGCCTGCTGAAAGCGTTCCCAGCCACTGGCCTCTGCCAGCCCTTCTCTGTCTCGCATGTTGCCACCAGAAAGTTCTTGGTGGGGAAAAAAGAGCACATAGGTCACGTCGTTCCCCTGCTTAAGGGTCTCCACCAGCTCACTTTGCTCCCAGCAAGTCCAGACTCCTCGGTCAAGGACCCAGGCCCCCGCCACCTCATCCCGCATCCTCACCCTCCCAGTCCCCCGGGGGAGCAGCCTGCCCCCAAGTCCCCCACCTCACTGGGGCCCCAGCCCCCGCCCTCCCTTTGTCCCAGGCTACTT